TCCCCCTACATCTTAGTGTCATCTGTGAATTTGAAGAAGCTGCTTTTTACTCCCTTGTCCAAGTCACTGATGAAGATGTTAAACAGTGCGGGCATGAGGAGCAAGGCCTGAGGGACCCCACTGCCCACATCCCTCCAGGTCAAAAATGACCCATCCACCACCGCTCTCTGGGTGTGGCCCTCCAGCCAATTGGCGACCCAATTGACTGTGTAGGTACTGATGCCACAGTCTCCTAATTTTTTAATGAGAACGGGGTGAGAGACAGTGTCAAAGGCCTTCCTAAAGTCCAGAAAGACTACGTGCACCGCGACACCTGCGTCCAAGGATTTGGTGACCTGGTCATAGAAGGCACCAGGTTGGTCTGACAGGACCTGCCGCTAATGAACCCGTGTTGGTTGCCCCTGAGCATAATCTCCCCTGCTGGCCCCTTCTGGACATGTGCCAGGATAACTCTCTCAAAAAGCTTACCCAGGATGAAGGTAAGACTAACTGGCCTATAGTTTCCTGGGTCCTCCTTCCTCCCTTTTTTGAAGATGGGAACCATGTTGGCTCTTTTCCTGAAAATAATCTGTCCTGAGGGTGATTGGAAAGGAAAACAGAACCAGTGTGGAACAACAAACGACCAATATAACTTTGCTTTTCGGCCTCTTACCTGTGCAACTTCTTCAAAATCATCATGTCTCTTCTGAAGGGCTCGTGCCCTGTGTAGCGATTTTCCCACTCCAGTGTGTTTACTAAGAAAGGCTTCCCCATGGTTTTCAATCCAGTCCAATACCTAGGCAGAAAGGAAGAGCACCTAATTAGCTGCCATGTCTCCTCATTGCAAAGGCATACACAAGAAATGGATAAAATAGCTGAAAAATCTCATTTAGCTGTAGCAAAACGCACAGGCATAGAGGACAGGGGATAACGTGTTCTTCTCTGGTACTGATGAATCCGAATGACTCGATTCCCACAACCTCTTTACATACAACATAACTGTTTGAGTTTGAGGCAGAGTTAAGTGTTGGCGGATCCAGGAATGGGGCGAAGGGGGTAACCCCCTCAACTATGGCTGTGCCGTGCATGCACAGTGAGCTTTTTGGAGCTCTGTGTGAGCTGAGCTCACCAGCTGGTCAGGAAGAGGCATTCAAGAGCAGAGGAAAGGAGGGGATGAGTGATGGTGACGCAACACCCAGCACCAAGAACTCATGTATGGCTTAGTCAATGTGGGGTGTGACTGCACTGCCACACCTCCTCTGGATCTGAAAAGTGATATCTGCCTTTTATATACTGGTATCTACCTCTTACATATCTCCTGTGGAAACCGAAACAGAGTGATGGCAATGGTTGACTTCACACTAAGAACGGATCTCAGTATGGACCATCCAAAGCATGCCTGGATACATGAGGGAGGGATCAACTGGAATTGATTAGGATGCATGGAGAAAGGGTGATCAGGACTTCTAGACTGGAGAGGTTAAGAATCACTGGGTAAAGCCATAAAACACTGGCAGGTATCAACGTTTCTCGTAACACCTGATCCCAGGCTACAGCTGTAGCTGAAGCCACCTGAAAGCAAAGTGGTGAATCTGTTATGCCGAGATGCTAGAGGAATTTCTCTCTACAATGGATCAGATGTATAAGCGTTGTCAGTCTGAATGTTTCCCATGACAACTCTCTCTTTCTCAGCTGCTGGCCATTAAAGCCTGCAAAGCTGGCTTTGCTCATTCTGCCATATACTGGCAAAAGTTAAGATTCACAGTGTGATCTTCTTCTAGCTGCCCAAAACTTCTGGGTGGAGGTGGTCAATACGCACTGGGTCTGGCACTGTTGTGCGTGTGCATGTGCAAGTAGACAGGACTTCATCCTTCAAGGCGACAAGCAGAAGCTGAGGGGGAGAGGTGCCCCTAAGCTATCACTGAAGTCAATGAAGTAGTGAACAGTAGTTGGAGGCTGCTTCTAAATGAGAAATGTTGGAGTTCGCATTATGATATAGCCAGAGATCACTCTGATTCCTCCAGGAATCAAATTCTCATTCCCACAGAGCATTGCCACCACCAACCCAGCCTAGCACCACAGCTTGAGCACTGAATATTGCATTAAAATGGTCAGGGCCCCAACAGGAAGCAGGCTGGCTTGTAAGCATTGGTTTGGCATCACCGTCTGGAGTGGCTCTGGCCATCAGAGACGACTCGGTGCACTAGCTGGGATGCTGAGAGAGGAGAGAGCCCTGAGCCCCGACCCATTTCTCATGTGCAGCACTGACGAATGCAGCTGTTACTGATTAAACCCAGCAAACTGAAACAACGGAAGAAGGTGCGACTTCTATTCAGACAAATGGCGCCATTTGATGGCTAAGCTGTGTAGAACCTAAAACACCTGGACTTTGAGCTGTTCCATTCACTGTATATCCCAAGCACAGCCACGTTGTCATTTCCCCCACTTCTCCGTTTGATGGCCACGGCACTGAAATAAGAATAATGCCTTAGCACTTCCACAGTATTTTTGTCCGCAGATCTCAAAGCTCTTCACAAAAGCAAGGGCTGAGGCACTCTACCTCCTGCTGGGACAATTTGTCACAAATACCATTCTGTGGCAAAAAAAACAATGATCCATCCCTGCCTTCCCTTTATGATATCCTCATCTCCAGTTTGTGCATACAGAATCCCAAATGCATTCCTTTAACCATTTGACAGCAATACACCATTTGACCTGCTAAAAGCCTTTTTGGGATATGTATTTGATCAAGAACTTGTATATAATTTGCAATAACAATAATTACTAGAGGGTTGCCTGCTAACATTGCTGTCATTAACAATCTATAAATACTTCCATTAACATCCTCTTCTTTCTTGTCAGGGATTTTCAACTTGTCTATTAAAACTGGATTCAGAGTAAATCTTGACATTGGAGATATCATCCCATGAGGCCACACTCTCTTTTTCATGAATTTATAACTTGCTAAAAGGTTTTCCAGTAAACTCACAAACGGCTTTATTCTAAATGATGTTTTACAGGATGTTAGGTCACAATGTCTATCTTCTTTCCATTTCTTAATACTTGACAATCACTAACTACTCATATCCAGCAAAACTGTTCAAGTAACTTTCTTGTATTTTTGGCATTAAAAGTAATTTTAACAACCATGCGCCTATCAATGTTTTTCATCCTGGGCATTTATATACAATACATAGAGAGAGGACTTTAGCTACTTTTGAAAAGCTATCATCTCTAGAAGGCAACAGCACTTTTTTAACAACTTGCACCAATAGCTTGCAGGGCTTTTAGCACAGAAAATGATGAATATCATACTTACTCGGCATTTTAGGCTAATACTTGAAGACAATATGCCTTTAGCTAACTGGGCCAAACTATGGTGACTGACTTTGATTCCCCTGCAAAAAGGGGCATCGACACTCTAACTCATTCATTGTTATGGGCTATAATTTTACGTTTTATCCAAAAGTTGGCTTTTCCATAGCAAAGAGCCCCCAAAAGTCATACTGAGGCCCTGCCTATTTGCTGGCTCGCCCCATCGGTACCATCAGCACTGAAAGGTTTCCTATGAGGTCCCCTACCCAAGTGCTAATCAGATCCAATGTCACTTCGCTTATGAGCTCAGATAAAACCACACCTCAGAGTGATGTGATTGCACATCCACTTAATAAATCAAAACAAGGTGAATAGCTCAGCTCCAAACTATTAATCATCCACTAATGATGCCGGCTTGGTGTCTTCTTTGTCTGCTTCTCTTGCCTTTGTCTCTGTATTTCTTTTTCTAGGCCACTTCCATGCCTGGAGCACCCACCCTAAACAGATTTCCCAGACCGCTATCCTCTCATCAAGGCCTATTTCTACTATGATGTTCATAAGAAATGCGTGAACAACGATTTCACTTCAGTTTTAAAATTCACTTGCTTATCCATTCTATGCACATCTTTTTGTGGACTGATTCTGTAACAATTTCTATAAGAGATGTCTCTAATCCCATTGTCCTAGCACTTAAGTACCCCAGTCTCGTGTTTCTTTCTTCACACGCAGCCAGTAAAGTGGGAAAATGCTATCAACCCTACTTTAGATATAGAGAAATGAGGTACTGAGAGACTAGGGGTACAGACAAATAGACTTTTTAGCTGTTTTAAGAAGGGGAGGGGAGGGGAGGGGAGGGGAGGGG